CTGTCGTCATCTCGGTCGCGAGGGCGATCCGAAGGGATGGAATTTGGATCTCCAATGGTAGCACAGCTTCGCATCCGTATACCAACGAATATGGGGTAGCTCCTGTAGGTGTGCGTATGGTGGTACGATAAGCCCAGAGTGCTTCACCGAGTTTATCATCCCAGTCTCGTTTATTGGTTTTCATGATCTTTGACAGGATTTTAATAATCGTCTTGTTAAACGCCTCAGCTAATCCATTCGCAACGGGATAATAAGCTGTTGACGAAACATCTTGAATTTTGAACTTGTCATAAAACCTGACGAAGGCGTTGCTTATGAACTGTGGACCGTTGTCGTTAATGATCCGTCTTAGCACGCCGTGTCGATATATAACATGATGTTTGATAAAATTGATGACGTTGTTCGTCTTCACTTCTCTAAGCGGAATTGCTTCAGCCCACTTTGAAAAGTAATCCGTGATTGCGAGAATGAATCGATCACCTTTGACTGAAGGGGGAAAAATAGGACCGACAATGTCCATACCCCATGTCTCGAACGGCCAAGACGTGGTTGACGTGTGCAACTGCTCTGGCGGTTGATGCATATAATTCGCATGTATCTGCGTCACGAACCATTGTTGGCCAAAAATATCCTATTCTCCTGATGCGATCATACAGTTTAGGACCGGGTTGATGCGCATCGCATTCTCCTTCGTGTGCTTCCTTAAGAACTTCTTCTGCTTCTTTGTTCGAAAGGCATCGGAGTAACAAACCATCGTACCCTCTACGGTATAATGTATGGGTCTCGGTATTATAGAAGAATCTTGGTGCTCTTCGGCGGATTGATTCCCTTTCTTTTACATCCTCTGGCAAAATACCATATTGGACGTAGTCAATGATGGGAAAACGCCAATCTCGGGACTCAGACCCAATTCGAGTTGAATTCACCTCTTTGGCGCTCATGTTTCTATCATCTTCTTCTTCACCATCCATATCGTATATGGGTATGCAGAGTTGATGCGTCCTCACTGTGACTAACAACTCAGTTTCGGGCGGCTGTGCAAGTGATACCGCTAGTGCTACCAGTGCATCCGCATAAGCGTTCTGGAGACGAGGGATGTATTCAATAAAGAATTCTTCAAAAGAATCTGCCATTTTGATGGCCTCCTGGTGGTACAAGATCAGGTCTTGGTTCTTGACTTCATACTCTCCGTGGACTTGGTTGACTATCAATTGAGAATCCCCAAAAGCTTCGAGATATTCGACCCCCAGCTCCTTGGCGAAACTGAGTCCAATGAGAAGCGCGTTGTACTCGGCTACGTTATTGGAACACGGACTAGTCAGTGAATAAGCCCGAGGCATCACATGCTTGCCCGAGGCATCACATGGTTGACTATCTCGAAAACTATGAGGGAGTTTCACACTTCCATTTATAGTTTTCTTGGGTTTTGTGCGGTCCACGTGCCTTCATAACTGCTGAGGATCATTTGTGAACGTGGGAGGACCATTACAAACGAAAAGCACGCTTATAACTGTAGACATAATGGCACTTAAACGTGGGAAGTCGGTTAGTTGGGCTTAGTTTTGACTTTCTACCTTCAGTAACTACTTCTAGGGACTATAAATGCTTTCCTATCACCCATATGCATGAGGACCAAGGAGATTCTAGGTAGAGACTTGCGCTTTTTGGCTAATTTTGAGCAAGAGAGAGAGAGAGAGAGAGAGAGAGAGAGAGAGAGAGAGAGAGAGAGAGTCTTCTTTGAGAGAGAGAGAGAGAGAGAGAGAGAGAGAGAGAGAGTCTTCATTGTGTTCAAGCATCCTCAAGAGCCTTCGGCGTTTCCTCGAGATTTAAGCTTTGACTTGATCTTGAGAAGAGTATTTTATCTTACCTTGTTGAGATATCCACTTTTGTCATTGTTTCTAAAACGAAACATCGACCCTAAACTTTCCTCACAATTCAACTTGGATTTTTGATTCGGTCGTCCACGGGCTAACGCACCCCCAGCACGGGCAAAGATCTAGCGCAAGCAACGGGTGATAAATATTCTCTGCGTGTGTTTCTAGAGAGTTGTATTTTATTTATTATCATTATGTAAGAAAGTATTATAAAAAGACTAATTTTACTTTGAATTTGTAATCGTTAAACTTGTAATGGATTCAACAATGAAAACAACTTTTGACGCAAACATGAAGCAATAATGATATTGTATATTTGATGTTTTCTCAGATCGCAAAATTTAATTATACTATTTTTATTTAAGTAGATAATGTTTGTATAAAAATTAAAGAGAATCTTACACGTATCTTAGATCTCAATGCCAACTGTAATACTTACATATGGGTGTTAGTTAAAATAAATTTCATGCATGAGATTAATTTATATGATCCTACTTTAATCGGATAGATAATTTTTTTACATCCAAACTCTTCCACAAAAACCAAAAGAGAGTAGCAATGATATAGCTATATATATCCACAAGACCGTAGATATCTTAAAAATAAATGAAAAAACCCACACAAATAAAAACCATATTAATTACCCCACACACTCACTATTTTCAAAACAACCCTTCTCCATCTTTATTTATAATATATCCACATAGCCAAATTAAGCTGCTGGAGTTTCTCTCTTACTAACCACACCATTGATCAACCCTTCTTTTTTCCTTTGTACTTAAATTGTATAATATTCATTGTAATTAGGACTTACATAGGTCATCTGTCTGCCTTCATCCAAAAAAATAATGTACTAGGCATTATAGTTAGTTAATAATGAGATCCTGTCATTATAAATAAATTAAGTAATTAAAGATTAATAATTCTTAAGAATGTACTACGTTCCCATAGCTTGCATTGCAAACTTGTTAGTTGTTTATTCCTGACCCCAAAAGATTTTCAAAATTAATCTTGAGAGTTGCTTGCATTAAAAAAGTTATATTAGAGGGCCGATACAGTCTATTTTATAGTTTAAGATTGTCAACATATTTTGTCTCTAATGCATATCAATTATGAGTAATAATATAATTTGATTGATCCAAGTATATCATAATATATTTCTATATCCTACTATATTTCTAGACTCTAGTCTTGTCTTTTGCTATTTATTATATCCAACTTGATATCATATTTGATGTAGACGATAAAGACACTACTGGAGAATTTCCTAGGAAAAAAAAAATTAAAGGTGGAGAAGGATTGATCTTAGCTGAGCTTATACAAGCATCTTAATATTTAGTATTTGGTTATATTTTTATTAACAAATCAACAATATATTATTGTAATTTTTTTAACTTAACACTATATTTAATGACTAAGATAAATAAATTGGAGATCGATGATATGATCCGATAAATAAATATGTTATATGAAGTTTGATATATACAAATTTAAAAGAATAATATTGTGTATGCAAGTATATAAAGGTGTATTGATCCCAGTTTTACACACAAATCTATTTTATAAATTTTTTTAAAAAATATTTAAATAAAATTTATGACAAATATAATTATCCATATTTATAGATTTTAACTCAAAATAAATCTAACTTATTTTATATTAAGAAAATAAATAAATAAATAAATAAATACTTCTGATATTAACCATGTGCATTGCGTTAGAACTTAAAACTGGAACTGGGATAATTTGTGGGATAAATTTTTAAGGTGTTAGTCACATAGAACTAGGAAATGGGATATTTTTTTATAGTGTTAGTCAAGTAGAACTTTTGTAGAACTAGAACTGTATTATTTTTTTGGTGCGTTAGTCAAGTAGAATTCTACTAGAATTAGAATTGGGATAATTGGTCATAATTATCCCACAAATTATACTACCTATATATATAACCATAAGTTCTCCTCTCTCAAATTATCCCACACATTGGAAAGAATACAATTGGGAAAAAAAAAGTGAAACCCCACCTCCCTCCCTCTTGGTTAGTTTCTCTGCCTAGAAAATTTCTCTACCATGAAGTCAATCATCCATTCATTTTTCTGTCTTTACTTTATTTTTGTGATGATTAGATCTTTTATTATTATCTTCAAAATGTATTACTTTATTGATAGTTTTTTAACGTTAAATTACTTTATTATTATTTATTTGATCTAAGTTTTCTCTCCACAACAGTGGTTTAGGTTAAGAAAATAGTGTTGGTGGGTTAGTGCTAAAGATATGCAGGCTATTTATGTTTTTTTATAAGTTAGAAAGCAACTTTGCGATCACATTGATGATTAGATGTTGAATGGTTAATGGTGATATCTATTATTATTAAATCGGCTCAGTAAATTGATTGGGATATTTATAGTTCATCTGTCGATCATCTGTTTAGCGGCCATGGATGATTCCTGTGTACATTTCATTTATTTGCTGATTTGGTTTCAGCGATCATGATGAGATTGGTCCAAAGGGTTAATGGCTGAAAAATGCTTATTTTTCTTTCTTTATGATGTTATGAGATTTGAACTTCGACATAAATTATTTTATTATTTGAGATGAATAGTGATGCTTTATTGCATTATATTTTATAGTTATCACTAGAATTTGCTTATCAATATTATATTATTTTTAATATATAATTATTAACAATAGTAATTTATACCCACCATTACCCCCACCAAATTATCCTACCAAATTATACAACTTTATAATATTATCCATTATTATCCCACCAAATTATCCTACCAAATTATCCCACTTTAAGAATTACCCATCATTGTTCCACTAAATTATCCTAGTGTTAAAATATTATCCCACTTCACCGATTATCCCGGTTCTAGTTAAAAAGTTCTAGGTCACTAAACCCCCCGAAATAGCAATACTCAAATTCAAGACCGACGCCTTCATTCTCCTCCTCTTTCTCTCTCAGAGCAAACCCTCGTCCTCCGCCATGGCCGACTCTGCCGTCGTGGATCGATGGCCTTCTCACATCAGCGCCGTCTCTCGACCCTGCGATCTCCGCAATTCTCCAGCGACGAAACCTAACATACGAGACGAGCGTGCGTTCACCGGCACAATTGGGCGTCGCGATCCCCCATCCCGATCCGTTGCCACCTCCCCCTCCGAGCTTCTCTCCTTCTTTCGAGACATGTCCCTGATGCGCCGCATGGAGCTGGCCTCCGATTCCCTCTACAAATCAAAGTTCATCCGAGGGTTCTGCCATCTCTACGACGGCCAAGAGGCCGTCTCCGTCGGGATGGAGGCCACGATCACCAAGAAGGACGCCATCATCACCGCCTACCGAGACCACTGCATCTTCCTCGGCCGCGGTGGGAGCCTCCTTGAGTGCTTCGCCGAGCTTATGGGCCGGAAGGACGGGTGCTCCAATGGGAAGGGGGGATCTATGCATTTTTATAAGAAAGATGCCAACTTTTATGGTGGGCATGGGATTGTTGGGGCTCAGGTTCCGCTGGGATGCGGGGTTGCATTTGGGCAGAAGTATATGAAGGATGAGAGCGTGACCTTTGCAATGTATGGAGATGGGGCTGCTAATCAGGGGCAGCTGTTCGAGGCGCTCAATATGTCGGCGTTGTGGGATTTGCCCGTCATCTTGGTCTGCGAGAATAATCATTGTAAGCAATATCAGATCTATTATTTGGATCTTTGTTTATCTTGTGTTTGATGATTGTTTGTTTTTCAGATGGAATGGGAACGGCAGAATGGAGGGCAGCCAAGAGCCCGGCGTATTACAAGCGCGGGGACTATGTTCCTGGTCTCAAGGTCGAATTCTCTATCTCAACTCTTTCAGCATTTGAGTTGTAGATATGATAGGTTTTAGACATTAGCAAGTGGGGAGTTAGGGTCATGCCTCTATGTTTCTTGGGGAAGAACGTCGCATCAGAGCAATTGAAACTCTGTTTGGTAACACTAAATTGTCCCTGGCATCCTATGATGGCATATTTATTATTGAGTCATCCAAATATTCATTCTAAGCTTGTTGAACCTGTACTCCTTGACTTTGACTATAGCCGTTCTTGTTGCTTGTATCCCTGTAGTGTCATAGGGTAAGGAGGAATATAAGGGAAATTGGTTAACAGTGGAGAGGTCATCAAAGGTGATTTTCAAATGACATTATTCATTTGAGAAGAGAAAAGAATGAAACTAGGAAAAGAAAGTGTGGATCAAGGGTGGTTTGCTGAATGTGTAAGACTATATGACAGGTGATAAAATTGACAAAATTGATGTATTGCAAAATAAATATGGTCAACCTATAATTCCTAACATGCTTTGCTAGCCACATTCATTTCTATCATCTACCGATGATGCATTCCGCAATTAAGAAAATGGAAGAAATGACTTGTAGTAGCAAGTTTCACCCAATAGCTTATTTAACGGTGAAGTGATAATGCAGAATAGCTAATATTGCTTGATGATGTGCCAGTTTGCTTGTATGTGTGTGTGTCTAAGTGAGGTAGATATTCTGAAGATGGATGGATCATTGTACAACTAGCTATTATTCATTTGTTTTTTTAATGAGAAGGTCATGCGCAAACATTTTAATTTTTTAACTATGAACACACATAATTCATCATATTTGTTCCACATGGACTTTTGTTGGGAAAGGTCTTTCTATCTTGCTGCTTTGAAGTTCTTAAACTCTTGCACATTGTTATAAATAGCGGTAAATAGTCCCGCAATAGCGGCGCTAATAGCATTAGCGGTTCCTTCCCGCTACGCTATTGCCCAATAGCGATGACATATTGCGGAATATGCGCTTTCCGTTCGCAAAAACGACAAATAGTGTGCCATTACGGTAAATAGTGGGCCATTGCATGTAAAATCCACTTTTTGACTGATATTTAAAAGCGGTTCAAGGATTATTTTTTAAAAGTAAACCCGACCATTGACCATTGCATTCCATCGTCTCTTGTGATTTTCGGCATACTCCTGCCACCTCTCATAGCCTTTGCCACCTACCTCAGTACTTCCTCTCACCTCCTTCACCGTGAGCTCCTCTTAGGACAGTCCTCTCACCGCTCAGCTCTTCTTCTCGAAAACGACGACTCTTTGACTCCTTCAATCATCTTTGGTATTACGTAGTGGTTACATATCTATTTCATGTTTAGGATCTCTTTAAATCATCAAATATATACTTTTAGATTTTTTTAGATTTTTCTTTAATCTTTTTTTTAGTATTTATACATATCTAAATTAGACCGTTATTTGACTTTGCGCTTTTTACCGTTATTTTGCCGCAATAGCCCTAAATAGCTTTAGCGATGCCTCACCGCTACGCGACGCTATCCGCTATGGATAACATTGCTCTTGCATTAAGCTCACAACTACTAGTAGTAGTTTTTTAGCTACTTAGCCATAGGTGGATAAGTAATGCAAGTTCCCTACCAAAGAAAACAATTGTTGAAAATATCAAAGAGATTGGTTTAGAGGAATTTTGACAAGTTTTCAATGATAGAGGATGCTTTTTTATAGTTGACTGGATTTGGCCAAGTATCATTTGAAATCTACCAAACTGATTTTATGATGGGACAATTTTGGTGTACCATGTCGGGGGTAAAAACTAACAGTCCTAGATGAACTCCAAAGAGAAGCTAATTAGGCAAATTCTTGTTCTTGGGGATTATTTATTAGTCATTCACATTTTTTTTCATCTAGTTGTTTCCTGAACAATTTTCAGCTTTCAGTACTTTGGACATAAATGTCAACCCTACAATCTGATTTTTGGATCAGTTTTAAATGTGCCTCTAAGTTGCTAACCCTTGTCCTTTTTTACCCCTCCTTTTCTTCAACTGCAACTCTCCTTTGTATCAGTCTTTTTAGGATGACAACTTTTCTGTTGTCTAAGAACAG